AAGATACAGAGTCGTTCATCCTAACATCTCATTACATAAATTCGACTTCTCAAAGGTCGTCTTCCATTCTGAGGTACTCACCGATATCCGATTGATGATGAACGACGATCCCATTCGGGTCCAGCTTCCGGCAATCCTGCGTCGACTTCGCCGCGTTGCCGAACCCCAGCGGCACATCGGACATCGAGAACACCACCACGCCGTCCCCCGGCTGGATCCCGTCGGTGATCCTGCCGAGGCCGCCCTTCAGCACGTGGTTGCCGTACAGGAACGACATCTCCGACGTCGGCTTCAGCCACACCTTGTGCTTGGCGTTGGCCGCCAGCAGGCCCAGGCACTGGACGGTGAGGTGGAACTTGCCGCCGTGGGTGAACCGGCCGACGCAGGTCCCCATCGAGACCAGGTTCTTCCGGCTGATGTTGGTGGCGCGCTTCACCAGGGCCTCGCTGACGTAGTAGACCCTGTTCTTCTGGAGGCGGAAGCAGTAGCGGCCCGGGTTCGGGTCGGGTCCTTCGTGCGCGGGGCTCTCGACGATGTTCTTCAGGTTGTTGCCGGTGAACTTCAGGAGCTTCTCGAAGACCACCGTCGTCTCCGCCTCGTCGAGCGGCCTCATTTTTCTGAGTAGAGAAATCCTAGCTGAAACCCTAGCTGAGTAGAGAAGGAAGACGAATGTTTCTGATTTGGGGAAAATTTTGGTGGGTTGGGGGGAGCTGAAACCCTAGCTGAGTAGAGAAGGAAGACGAATGTTTCTGATTAGGGTTTTAGCAAAATCCTTCGGGATTCGGCTGTTAATATTGGGCCTCAGTGGACTGGGCGGGGAAATGCTTAGGGTTTTAGCAAAATCCTTCGGGATTCGGCTGTTAATATTGGGCCTCAGTGGACTGGGCTTGGGCTTTATTTTTGAGCTAAGAAAAGCGGTGAAACAATCGGCGGGGACGCGGGCCGAGCTAGATTTTCAGGGTCCGCGGAATGCCTGGTTCCAGCATTGTTAGTTGTTACTTGTTAGTCACGTTTCTATCGATGAATTAGGGATGGATACGGTCACATACTCACATCCCTCGAGGGGTTGTGAATTTTGCTATAAGGGTAACTTGGGGAATGGATCAGGTCAATAATCTTATGGTGAGTAACCATGAGTAACCCGTCCACATCAGCATGACATTAGCATCCTCTCTCTCATGGAAAGCCTTTAATTTTTCCCTCTTTAATTTTTGGCGGACGATTTCTTGCTCATTTTAAGTCGAAATTTAATTTTTTTTGCAGAGTTAGATCAGATTAATTGTGCTCTTCAAAATGATATCCACTTTAATATATTTTTCGAACAAAAAAAAATTGAGCAATTTTTTACCAGCCTATACCATATGGTATTGACTGGTATTGAAATAAAAGCATACCTATGTTTTGAAAAACGTACCATGGTGGTATGAACAAACCAATACTGTAGGATGGTTGAATACATGATAGTAGAAGTATATTAATTGTAATTTACGACTTTTAACATTGTATATACCACACAATACCACCCCGTACCAGGGTGATATTGTATGGTATTGTGTGGTATTTTTTGGTCCTGTAATTTGTTCACCCAGAAATTTGTAGATCCAATAGATCATGATGAACTCGTCCTTTCTGTGTAAACGTTTTCAAAAACGAATTAAAAACGAAGAAGATACCATACAATACCACCCCGTACCAGGGTGGTATTGTATGGTATTGTGTGGTATTTTTTGGTCCTGTAATTTGTTCACCCAAAAATTTGTAGATCCAGTAGATCATGATGAACTCATCCCTGCTGTGCAAACGTTTTCAAAAACGAATTAAAAACGAAGAATATACCATATGGTATGCAGTTGGTACCGAGAGGCCAGAATTTTTTTTCCTAAAAAAATATTGAAAATTGATCTCATTTTGTAGAGCACGGTGAACTCGTTCCATCTGTGCAAAAAAAATTAAAATCTGAGTTAAAATGAAAAATATATGAGTCAATTAAGAAAGCTAGTGAAAATAAAAATAGCCTTTAATTCTCCATCCTTAGATCTGGATTTTCTAAATGAAGGGTCCAGATTTGGTTATTGATGGGTGCATAACCCATGGTTATGCACCCTATCTTGAGCCAACTTGGGGTACTGCAAAAAAGAATCTTATTAATTACTTTCCTTTTTATATTAATTACATTTTAGGGAATTAAAAACATATATTAAATACATTGTTTTATTTTAAAATTTAAATCCTATTACAAATATATTTCTCTCCCTTCCTTTTCCAGCAGTCACTGAATCCGATCGGCTAATTTTCTCCGGCAGGCAGATCTTCTCCGGTGAAATCCTTTAATCATACTCGCTCCGGGCATCTACAAAAAAGTACCACTCCGTCAATGCGTTAATGCCATGATAATGATTTTTGTCTAATGGTACGTAAAAACAGGGGCGGAGCTACTCAAAGAGTAAGGTGGGCCTCGGCCCACCCGGGAATAGTCTCGGCCCCTAGGACCGTAAGAATTTTGGATAAAATTTGGATAAGTAGTGCTCGACCTATACATTATATCATATAATAATTATTTGGTCTAATGGTAGCTAAGCTAAACTTTTAGCCTAAAGGAAACATGTTCGATCCACAAGAACCTCATTTTGCTTTAACTTATTTTTGGACTTTATTATCTTAATTCTCCTCCACAAGGCCTGGACCAAAGCAAACGGATACCCACTCCTTTTTCATTCTTTTTGTTACTTTAATCCAGCTACAAATGAAAAAATCAACCTCTGTTTAGTTCACTTGGGATTTTTAGCTCTTTATACAAACTATATGATCTATATTTTTTTTATCTATGTCGGAATGAACAGAATGATTAGTGTCAAAGGAATTTTATTTTGTTGTTAGGTTGATTTTTCTTCTTCTAACTCTTACAAATTTCTAAAGCTACATGTGATCGTGCATGTTTTAGGTATAAAGATAGTGAAGAATAGATTGTGAAACAAAATAAATGATGAGTTTCTTGTAAATGATTTATTTATTTATATTGAAAGAAAGATAGCTAAATTTTTTAGTTCAGATGCTATTTTGAGAGATTTCAATGATCTCAAAGAAAGTTGTAGAATTTAAAACTAAATATTTTATTTTTAATTATATTTATCTATTTTCGGCCCACCCGGTCTCGAAATCCTGGCTCCGCCCCTGCGTAAAAATTACCAAGGGTATCGTATCAGTGAGTACTGGTACGCTACCACTAGTCACTACGACACCACTAGTCATTGATAAGTACCAGTAGCGCCTACCAGATGGTAGTGGTACCAAACGATATTGGTACGCTACCACTAAGATCTGGGCACTACCCTATGGTAGTACCACTAGCAGCTACCAGATGAAAATCAGTACCACTAGTGTAAATTAAAAAAAAAACAGATCTGAAAAAGGGAGGAAAGGGGGAGTTTGTGACATCGCATAGAACCTCGTGGCAGTGGTGGTGGGAGGCAGAGGCCGCGTCTCCACCGTTGGAGGGATGGCGATGCAACGGTGGTGGGAGGGCGGCGAGAAGGTTGCGGCAGTGGTGGGAGGCGGAGGGCACGACGAGGCGGTGGGAGGGCAGCGGCGCGGGGCTGTGGCGATGCAGTGGTGGGAGGCGGAGGGCACAACGGGGCGGCGGGAGGACTACGGCGGTGTTGGCGACAGAGAGAGAGAGGGAAGAGATAGGAGGAAGAAGAGGAAGAAGAAGAGAGAATTGTTGGTGATGGCGGTAGAGAGAGAGGAAATAGAGTTAACATAGGGTTTTGGGGTAATTAATAGGGGTGATGATCTAATGTGGTAATTTTTTCGTCCAAAAATACTCTTAATCCAATCTGTACCGTTAATTTGAAAATAGAAAGAAAGAAAATGAAATGGAAGGTTAAGACGTGGGTAACGAAATTCACAACCCCTTAGAGGGAAGTGACAAAATCTCATCCCAATGAATTATTCATTTGTCATCTCAAATTAGGTTTGTGACTAAGGGTGAAATCGATGATTATAATATGACTTTACTTAGTTGTCGAATCTCAATCATTAATGTAATGTATCATATAACTTTATAAGTGGCATGAAACATGAGTTAACTGTAATATTGTTTTGTTACTACCATCTTGCTTTTGTTTTGACTTGTACTTTATGTTGTTAATGAATCAAGCCGTTCATGAACGATTTGACGTTTCGATTCGAGAAAATTCTTTCGACACTTTAACTCATTTTTAACTTAGCTGGTTAACGAACAAGCTCGTCTATAAACGAGTCGAGCTCGTGCCATGACATGTTCAGCTCGATAGGCTCACAAACAAGCTCAAAAGCCTTTAAATGCTTGTTGTTGGTGTTTTGTGAGCCAAGTTCGAGTTAGAGCTACGATCGACATTTTATCAGCTAAACTGGTGTTTTGCTTGTTTGTTAAGCTCATTTGACGAGCCGAGTTCGAACTTGACTATTAATACTCGTGTCGAACTCGAACTGAGCTCGAGTTTGCAATTATTTTAACGAGTCAAACCTAAATCATAGAAAAATTCGGCTCGGATCATTACAGCCCTATTGCATATTCAATTCTAAGCGAGAGCCTTTATCTCGTGGATGGTGGAACTAGTCTTTTATATGTTTCCCAAATATTTTCATATTTGATTGAAGGCTTGTATAGCTTTTCTTAACCACATATTAAGATATATGTTAAGTTGCCTCCCAACCATTGACTTAAGTTTAATTTCTCTTGATGTTTAATCATAAATTGAATTGTATTAAATCTTTTTAGTTGACATTTCTGGATCACTCGCTTCTACAATGTCATTTTAAGTATTACTACTCGAAACTAAATTATTTGCTTGTTGATCGATTTGGATTCACCAACACCAGTATTTGAGTTTATTAAAAGGCCAAATTACAAGAAAGCCATTCCACAACACAAGTTCTAGAATGTGTTACATTGGAGACGACGACATTTACCAAACTCCTGAAATCTACAACCAAACTTACACATACAAGAAACCCATATTCTAGAAGTCGAATCCTCCGGCATCGGCGAACCCGGAATCGTACCCGGCATCATAGGCCCCGACGTCGGACACCATATCTCCGATCAAAAGCCCACCAATCGCTCCTCCCAGCAATCCCGCCCCTAATCCCATCCCAAACTTGTTCTTCTTCTTCTGTTGCTGCTGCTGCTGCGGTTGCACAACCACCGGCGGCGGGTACCCGTACCCGGCTGGCTGACCCGGCGGATACCCGTACCCGGCTGGCTGACCCGGCGGATACCCGTACCCAGCTTGCTGACCCGGCGGGTACCCGTACCCACCCGGAGGCGGCGGCGGGTAGTACCCGTAACCCGCTGGAGCCACCGAAGGGTAACCGACATACTGCTGCGGCGGCGGCGGAGGAGGATAGGCCGCGTAGCCCGAATCCACCGGCGGGTACCCACCGCCGAAGCTGGTACTCGTCCCCATCGCCACAGCGGGATAAGCGGTGACCGGCTCATCGGACTTATTACCCTCCAATTTCGCCGCGGCGGCGGGACCCGAATTCTCCCCCAATTTGTACGAGAAGTTCAATTCGCCGCCGGGCTTCCCCGAAGGCCGGCGGATCTGGTAGCTGACGAACTTCATACCACCCTTTCCTCCTCCGCCGGTCAAGAGCTCCTTGATTGGGACGACGACCTCGCCGACGTCCCTGTCGCCGAGCAAGGCGCGCTCGCACCGCAGCTTGACGACGAGGCTGACGCGATCATCCTGCTCCGCCGCCGCCCCGTCGACGGCGAACCTGATCGGGAAGTTCCAGGTGGGGCTGTCGCCTCCGGCGACAGGGGTCCTGGCGGGCTGATTGGAGGGGTCGCCGGAGATAGAAACGACGGCGTACACGTCCATCTTGGAGATCAGATTGACGCTCTTGAGGCGTTGGGCGGAGATCAAGTTGATCTCTAAGGTGGTTCGCTCCATTTTTGTTTTTCTGATTGAGGGGAAAGGGGATCAGTGCTTGAACCTTGAAGCGAGATCTGTCAAGGAGAAGGGTGGAATTTAATGGAGAGAGGAAGAAGAAGAAGTCAATGGTTTGGAAATTGCGGGAACTGGGGGTTGGGGCGTGTTCTTTACGATGGAGAAATTGGAATTTTGCTTCTTGGTGCCATCGGAATATGAAAACTAGGGAAAAAGTTGCAGACTGTAACGCCTGGAAGTTTCGGAATAAGCAAATCAGTGATCAAATGTCAAGTTACATATTTGCAATTTTAGTTTTTTTTTTTTTTACTGATAGAGCTAGGATTGGATTTTACTATTTACCAAACTTTTTTTCGTACTGACGAAATCGTTGTGGCATCCGAATGTTTCGTATAGAAATTAGATTGGGTCTCGAATCATGGGAACTAAAACTCGTTTTTACATGAAAAAAATATTAAAAATGTAACCAACACTTACCTAATCTCTCAACTGGCGGATGAAGCAACGAACTAAGACTTGTATTTCCGAAAATTGATGGGGTCATGAGATATTTTTGTGTGTGGGGGAGAATTAGTCTTGTGAATTGTGATGCGACCTATGAGTGCGGATGGATGGTGTCATTCATTGATATGTTTGTTAGGGATGACAATGAGTCGGGTTGGAGCGGGTTTTGTCAAATCCAAATCCATGGGTTTATCCACAAAAAAAATTCGAGGTAAAACTCGTTGGGTTTGAAAAACTCAAACCCAACCCAACCCGCTGGGTATCCACGGGTTCATGGGTACCCGTGAGTTTTTGTGGTAAAAAATTTACAATAACAAGTTTCTTTCAAAATAAAAGTTTAACATCAATTTTCTCATACAAATTAATCATTCAAAAACACCAATCTAGAGCATACAAGCAAACAGCAAATGATCAATACAAATTGTTCAAAATTAAAGATAAACATCTAAAAACAATAAGATTAATTGAAAGCTTCTTCCTCGTCAACTAAGTTTTTTCACTCTCCACTTCATAATATCAACTTCATTCTAAACAATTAGAAAGAACAAATTATACATGTCTCCACAAACATAAAGAATATTAGTTGTTTAAGGAAGATATATTATTTAAAATATTAAATATACCGGGAAAGTAATTATATGTGTGTGAGCGGGTACCCATGGGTGGGTTTACCTAAACCCAAACCCAACCTGACCCGATGAATAGTGTAGCGGGTTTAAACCCGAACCCGGCCCAAAATCTGTCAACACGGGTTTTACCCGCGTTGACCGGGTTGGGTCAGGTGGGTACCCGTGAGTTCGGATTTTGTTGCCATCCCTAGTGTTTGTGCTGCTATCTTTTCAGGAATCGGTAGATGGTGAAGATTTACGCGATATTCTCGTTTACAAGAAGGAGAATAATTCACGAAAGACTCTCAAAAGAGTTTTCGGCCGATGTCTATAGGATAATGTCTATTTTTTATCCAAATCTTTTTAGATTATTTTATATTATCAAAACCTATTAAAATGATATTAATTAGCCAAATCTTTCGTAATGCATCAAAAGATTAGTCATTTTTACGCTATCGTTAATAATTTTGTAACTCTTTTCTTAGTTGAAATACTAAAAAATTTGAAATTTGACCTTCATGTGTCTCTTCCAAGTCAGTATCATATTGCCAAATCAATATTACTAACAAAATTGCTAACTGAAAGTTAACATTTGTCTAATTCTTAGTATTTCGATAAGTTTGGCTAATAAAAAATAACCTGAAAAAAGTTTGACTAATAAATAGTCACTATCCATATTTTTATTAGGGTTTTACTTTCACCGCATGCATCGTCCCAAGCAACTCGACTGCTAACATATAATATACCACACGCAATTCCTTTTTCACACTCAGCTAGGAATTGCAAAGTATTAAACAACCCTCAAACAAATATAAGGGGTTAAAGACACATTTGGTCACTGAAATTACAAAATCGGGACATGTTTAGTCACTAGAAAAAGTTAATATCAAATTTGGTCACTACAATTACTAAAACTGGACGCATTTAGTCACTCGCCGTTAGTCTCCGTCCAACTCCGTTAATGAAGTCCGTTAAGTGCTGATGTGGCAAATAGAATTGCCTAATCAGCCAGATATAACCCAACAAAAATAAAACCCGACCCGCCACGTCATTATAACCCGCCACCTCATTAAAACCAACCCAACCCATGACCCAACCCTACCCAACCCTTCTTCCTCCTTCCTCCCCAACCCAATTTAGGGTTTTCCCCATCCCATCCAAATTCGCTGGGCGGGGAGAAGATCTCTCCGCCATTAATCTACCGCACTCAAGAAACCCCACAATCAGTTACAGCAGAAAAAAACCTAATTCCCCAATTCGAAACCGACCAAAATTCAGGATCGTACCGAAACCCAGAACTCGAATGCGGCCCACCAGCCACTAAAACCCCCCCAAAACTAACTCGAAGCCGGAAGTCAAAGCAGAATCAACAGCAGCAGCCGCAATCAGCAATCGAAAGCACAACTTACCTATGAATCATGGAACTGAGAGAGCGGAAGGAGATGAAGAACCCAAAACCGGAGCCACTCCGCAGACAAAAAGTGAAGCGGTGGCCCTATGCCCTATGGTGGTGCGATGCCTGAGATCTCCTAAAATGGCAGCCTTTGAGAAATGGCAATTCTCACGCCACCAACACCTCCCGGAAAAGGGCAAACAAAACAGGCCAGCAAGTTTCCCCCGGGTGACGTACTGCGGCCGCTGCGTGCGGTTCCTGGCGTCCAGAAAAGAAAAGAAGAATAAGAGTTGAAATAAGATTTTTTAGAAATTGGGAATGACAGAGGAAGAAGATGAAGGAAGGGCGGCAGATTAATGGCGGAGAGATCTTCTCCCCGCCCAGCGAATTTGGATGGGATGGGGAAAACCCTAAATTGGGTTGGGGAGGAAGGAGGAAGAAGGGTTGGGTAGGGTTGGGTCATGGGTTGGGTTGGTTTTAATGAGGTGGCGGGTTATAATGACGTGGCGGGTCGGGTTTTATTTTTGTTGGGTTATATCCGGCTGATTAGGCAATACTGTTTGCCACATCAGCACTTAACGGACTTCATTAACGGAGTTGGACGGAGACTAACGGCGAGTGACTAAATGCGTCCAGTTTTAGTAATTGTAGTGACCAAATTTGATATTAATTTTTTCTAGTGACTAAACATGTCCCGATTTTGTAATCTCAGTGACCAAATGTGTCTTTAACCCCAAATATAAGTGAACAAAGTAGGACAAGCTGTAGAACCAGCTAGCCTCGTACCTACGCCCCCTATCCCGTACATACTCTCACAACACCACAAGAGAAATATTGTTTAGTGTCGGTTAAATTATATGTTTTGTGTCAGTTTGAGGCAACTATTGGAGGAAAGTGGTTCTGGCGCATAATTTTGCCGTGCACAACCATACATAACCTATCACATCACCATTTATGGAAAGCTTTAATCTTTCATCCTCTAAATTTTAATGGACTATATCTCTTTCGTTATAAGTTGATTATTTTTTTGCAGAGATAAATAAGATAAATTGTGTTCTTCAAAATGATATTCACTTTGATATTTTTTTGAATAATTTTTTTTGGCATTTAGTACTAGTCTATACCATGATGGTATTGTTTGGTATTGCATAAGGAGCACTTCTACTATACTTTAAAGAATTGGTGCTTTAAAGTACAACTTGAAGTTGTACCATAACGTTAAAAAATAAAAACTGATGTTGTACTATAAGTGAATTTGATATTTATGTTCATAACATAAATATGCAACTTTAGTTTGTACCATAAAGAGATTTTACAAAAGTATATAGGTACAACCCCACTATCGAAACCCCATCTCATTCACCCAAGAGAAACCTCGCCGCCTCTCGAACTCCCTGCCATCGTCATCAGATTTCACCATCTCGTCACTAGATCTCTCCATCATCGTTGTCGAATCTCTGTGCCTCGTCTCGGAATCTTGACCTCTCGATCTTTTTGCCAGAGTCACCGGATGTTGTTACCTTGATGTCAGAAATCGAAGTTATAAATCCTAGGATGCCCTAACGTCGTATTCCAATGGTCTTCTAATGCATAACTACTCACAGTCTCACACCCATATCATCTATGACTCACACAAAAACCATACAAGCATTTTGTTGGGTCATACATTGAGTCACACGGCCCGTAAGCCCAGGAAGCACTCAAGGCCCACATAAGAACAAACAAGGCCCAAAGAACCGACAGGGGCAAAGGCGGTTTTGTTTGTCTAATACCAAAAGACCGCTCGACATGACCAGAGCCTGACGCCTGAGGACCGCCCGACATTCTGGATCCTACGTACATAACCTGACAAAAGGAGCGGAGGAATCCAGAGGCGTCCTTGACTGCCCGACACAACATTAAATGCTTAAAGCCCAGCCGAGGCTAGTATAAATACCCCTCATAGGATCACATTTATGGTAACATCTATCAACTCCATTCTCTCTCTTATTTACTCCCACTTCACTTCTCTCTCTAACTTTAGCATCAGAGGAGGTCCCAGAAACCCCCTGGAGACCTTTCTGCAGGGTTTCGGAGACCGCCCTTGACCATCGAAGCCGCCCAAGGCCAGTAGAGTCTCACAAACCGCTTGGGACATTCCAAGCACAAACACATTTAATGATTTTCATTTGACTAACAATAAGGCATCAAAGAGGGGATCGGTTAGTGACTCGCTAAAACACAACACCTAACAATGGCCAAGTGTAACCAATGAAAGGGACTGCAGTATAGTGGCACAAGTAATAAATATCGAATCCACCGGTCTCTAGAGTTACTATTACTCAGCTTCAGTTCATTATCTAGCAAACTAGATTAAGGATTGATTGATAAACTACTCTACTGACTACTCTACTAATTACAAGTTGGGAACTCACTTAGGTATGATTCCCCCTAGCTCCTCAATTAGGTCCAAGTTGCAATTACCTTTGGTTGATCTACTGTTTATTAAACTGCGGAAGATCCTAAATTAGCTTGGAATCTCTTAAGCTGACCAAACCCTCTCAGACAGAATACCCGGCAGGCGACCAGTGGCGGAGCCAGAGTTCGAAAGTACCTGTGTCCCTTTTTCAAAATATAAAATAATAAAAATTATTATTTAATAAATATTGAAAAAACAAATATGAGAGAGCCGAGAGCCACACCTGTTGCCTGTTGGAGATAGCCGTCGAAGGCAAGTTTCCCAGAGTGAGACTCCGCCTGGCGCCGAGGCAGGGGAGATGCAGTAATACATAGGGATGGCAAATTACCCACTCATGGGTAATTATACCCAAACCCAAGTAGACCCATTGATAATGGGTCGGGTATGGGTTAAGTGCATATGGATTTGGGGGTTTATAGATGAGTTTGGGTTTGGGGCTTCCATAATCTAATGGGTATGGATTGGATATGGATATCCATTTACTTGAGGGTGTTTTAACTACACATGTAAAAATTGGACCTATTTGCAAAACTTGAAAAGTTTAGGTACCAAAATGTAAGACCAAAAAAATTTAGGTACCAAAACGTAATTTTCCATCGATATTTTGAGGACTTATATGAAAAAAAAATTAAATTTAGGTACTGAATATGCATATCTATTAAGTTTGGGTACCAAACTGTAATTTGTATTTGGGCATGGGTACAAACCCAAATCCATTTGATATAAACCCAACTCAACCCAAAGTAAATGGGTATGGGTACAAACCCATCAAACTCTACCCATATCCATCTATTTGAATTTCATACCCAACCCAATTGGGTTGGATAGTAAGAAACCCATGGGTATGGGCAAAGTTGCCATCCCTAGTAATACAATGGAGAGGAACCACTTTCCTAGAGTCCGCCAAGGCCAAGTATGCTCCCGAACACGCCCACGTGCCGGAGTTCGCTCCCCTGCTAGTCGCCGACGCCGCTGAACTGGAGGACAGAAGGAGAAGTTCTAGCCGCTTACTGGGTATTTTATTTGATACCCAAAACTTACCTGTGTCACAGGACACAGCCCAAACCCTCTGGCTCCGCCTGTGCAGGCGACTAGCCTTCACCGGGATAGACTGCTTAGGCGATTCACACAGATCTCCACTACTGGAATGAATTCCAGTACAAAGCAGTGAATTGATTGACTCTCGCACAACCAATTCACTACTATCAATCAAGGAAGCTCTCTTAACCTAATCAGATTCTATCTATCATAGGTTAAAGCAGAAATCAAGAGAATTTGATCAAGATCCAATTGACTCAATAAATCATGCCTCAATCGATTATAATCAAACAATATAGCATCCAAAACTTCATACAAGAAAGATCCTAACTCATGGAACTAGGGTTCCTCAAAACCTAAGTGAAGGGAAGTTACTCCATAGAGAAGAGAGAGACTGCAGAAATCTGATCTAGATCTTCAATCTCCATCTCCAAGCTTGATTCCTGAGCTCCAATGGCGAAGAAATCCTCCAAAATAGCTCCAAGAATGTTCCCAAGTCGCTCTCTCTCTCTAGGGTTCGTCCCTTGGGTGTTTGGGATCCAAAACCCCGCTCTCCCCCTTTCCTTTTGCTGAAAATTGGGTTTTAAACATCAATTCCCGACTCACACGGCCAGGCCACACGCCCGTGTGGCTTTCCCAGCTGCCCGTGTGAAGGCTCGGTGAATTCCACACGGGCAAAAGTGCCCCTTGCACGACCGTGTGGGTTGTGCCCGTGTGGCTTGCTCAGCCTCTGTTTAATGCTTCGTTTCTCCCTCGTCCGGACTCCGAATCAGTCGCCGTTTGATCCCAGACGCTCGTAGTCTCGTCCTCTTTCTTTTCATGACAAGCTTGCATGATTCTTTTTCCATAAAGTGAGGTATAAATCCATTCTTCTTCAGGTCATACCCGAGTTTCTTCTCCCGAATCGTCAATTGATCTCTGATTGCCTTGAAACTTGCGCCTATGCTTCACTTTATGTGTTAGGACCTGAAATGTGACAAAGGAACACAACCTAGCATAAAATAGGGCAAAGACACGATAATTCAAGCTGAAACAATCAAGAAACAAAGGGGAAAACATGTGCAAATACCGAGTCATCAGTTAGCATGCTAACCCGGGATGAGATAGCATGCCTACCCATAAAAGGGTTGGAAAAATGACACCCCCTATTAATTATAGGTTTTTAAGGTAATTAATTTGTGTTGCATTTAATAATCTGTATGAATTAAAAACACATATTAATTACTTTCCTTTTTTAAGTGCACTGGTAGTTGTATCAGTGCACTGGTAGTTGTGTACAGGTGCAATGGTAGATGTATCACTGCAATGGTAGTTCCAAAAAAGGAACGTAATTAATATGAGTTCAGTATACAGGTGCAATGGTAGTTGTATCAGTACAATGGTAGTTAAAAAAAAGGAATGTAATTAAAATGAGTTTTTAATTTCCAAAGATTATTAAATGCAACATGAATTTAATACAAAAAATAACTATAATTATAGGTTTTCCGATCCCTGCTAACCCTTGTAAGGGGTTGGAAAAATGACACCCCTATTAATTATAGTTATTTTTTGTATTAAATTCATGTTACATTTAATAATCTTTGGAAATTAAAAACTCATCTTAATTACATTCCTTTTTTTTAACTACCATTGTACTGATAAAACTACCATTGCACCTGTATACTGAACTCATATTAATTACGTTCCTTTTTTGGAATTACCATTGCAGTGATACATCTACCATTGCACCTGTACACAACTACCAGTGCACTGAAAAAAGGAAAGTAATTAATATGTGTTTTTAATTTATACAGATTATTAAATGCAACACAAATTAATTACCTTATAAACCTATAATTAATAGGGGGTGTCATTTTTCCAACCCTTTTATGGGTAGGCATGCTATCTCATCCCATCAAAGAGTACAAAAACAACCAATGTCTATTACAAGCTCATTGATCAAATAGTTATGATTTAGATATGAATACAAGAAAATGACTCAAGATGCATTGATAGAAGGGGAAAATGTATCAGAAATGAGAGTGACAAACACTATAAATAAATAGGGATGGCATTTCAGACCGTGCGGGCGGGTACCCGCTCAAAATCCGGCTGGGCGGAACAGTTCCTACCCGGCGTTGACGGGGAATTAACGGATTCGGGGACGATATGGTGTATAGTTGAGGCCACCGTAGCAATTTCTAAAATCACATGCCAAATTGGATTATTGGGTATATTTCGGGTCATAATAAAGTATTAACTCTTTTTTTAACAACAACCACGAAAGGAATAAGTGAAATAAAAAAAGGTGATAATTATAGAAAATAGAAAGGGATATTGACGGAAAAAGTTTTTTCCCTAAATGAAAGATTCTAAATCTCTACTTTTTAGAGAGATATAATATCTCTATTTTTTTAAAGATTCAAAATCTCAAAACTTAGAATCTCACATATTAATTGTAACAAAAAAAACAAAACAAGACTTATTCCTTAAATCTTTAAATTCAATTCATATCTAAATCCTGTTATCCAAACGACCCCTTAATATTAAGGGAGTGATTGTAATCTTAGTCATTTCAAACATCCATTTTTATTTCGTTCAAAAATCAAAATTTATTGATCTCTTTGTTACTATCCCAACTTTCTGTGACTATCCAAGTAGTTGACCCACAAAAGGCAAGTCCGCGACTGGCAGTGGCAGCCGATTCCATGGAGGATATGAAACGGAATCGCCCCGCCTTTATTCACGCCGTCAACTAACGCCGCCGTCATTCCAGCCTGCCGTCCCCTTTCAACATGTTCTTTCCCTGAAAGAAAAACGGAAAGGTCTCAAACTCTCAATTCCCAACTAATTAGGCGCAAATCACAGAATCGCCGGCCGCCGAGTAATCAAAAGCAAGCAAGCAGCTATCGTCGGCGATTCAAATTCTCGCTTTCCGTAGCCCGTAGGTCATAAATAAAAAAGCTACGAAACGCTCCTTCCCCACGCGCCAAAAGTATCTATCTCCTCCACCGCCACCGCCACCGCCCATTCCTTCTTCCGCCGCTGCTGCTGCTTCTAGCTCTCCCGTCGCCGGCACTCGTTTCTATTGCATTTTGCTTCAGATTGACGGGAGCTGCTGAGGGAGGGGGAAAGGCAAGAGGAGAAGCCGGAGGCGGGGGGAGGTTTTTCCAGCTTCCCTCTCCGGTATGGAGGAGCAGCCTCTGAAACGGGCCTTGTTGGACGCAAGTGCAGGGGCGATCGCCGGAGGGATATCTCGTACGGTGACTTCGCCCCTTGATGTCATCAAAATCAGATTCCAGGTTTGTTTCCTTTTTCTGGGATGCCTTTGGGTTGTATTGGATTAGGAAGTTGGTTTGATTTTGATTTGATTGGCCAGCGAACTATAGGTTTTGGCTGCTAATGAATGGCGGTGCAGTGAATTTAGGGGTTTGTGTTAATGGTCGATTGCTTTTTGATTGAGTAGTGGCCTTAAAGTCCCCATTTTTAAATGTTTAGTGCATATTTGAAGCGTGTTGGGTGTTGGAATTAGTTCCAGAAGGCTTCCTAGCAGGCTTCATCATTCATGCTGGCAGTTGCTTGGAGTGTTCCTTATCTAAGAATGTGATTAGATTCCTGAACAGGGAGAGTAAAATCGGGAATCATTCGGAATTTCTATTCATGGTTTTACAGGTTCAGCTGGAGCCAACTACATCGTGGGCTTTGCTCAATAGAAATCTGGCTGCTCCATCCAAGTATACAGGAATGCTGCAAGCAACCAAGGATATATTTAGAGAAGAAGGTTTCGCGGTATAGCGCTTCATCTCTTCTCGTCTGTTGTTGTTTGGCATTCATTGTTTCTTGAAGAGTGAAAGAAGTGAGGGGTAATAAGTTGCTGTTGCTACTCTACTATTTTGGTTAGGCACTAAACTTAATTAGAAATATTTTGAACTTGTAAAGGAGTCGGGCACTGAGACTAGATACTTCTTAAGGTAGTCCGGTTTAGCTAGGGCTCGAAACCCTAAATTATTGTACAAGCTGATTATATAAATTGTGTGATATACCTCTAATCCAATATTTGTATCTTCTTTTCTGTAGGGTTTTTGGCGTGGTAATGTTCCAGCTCTGCTCATGGTTATGCCGTACACGGCCATACAATTTGCTGTGTTGCACAAGATAAAATCATTTGCAGCTGGTTCTTCCAAGACAGGTGTGTCAATTGGTATCCGGGCTAGCTTTTAGTTTTCATCGAATATGGATAAGTTTCACATCATTTAGTATTTGGTTTATGCTTCAGCATTGAATTATAGGAGGTTCTACGATTTTACTGCATATTTTACATATTGTTGTCTGAACTGAAAATCTGAAACCTACAAACTAGAAGCTGGACAGCCCTCTTAAGCCCGATGAGTAACATGCAGGCCAGTTGTAGCTAATGCCACTAATAGCTTCTTTTTTCTTTGTTTGATTGTGATACATTCATTTGAGTCCATATTTGTCCTCTTATTAACTTTGATGCAATCACGCAATGCAGCTGATCACATTCATTTGAGTCCATATTTGTCCTATGTAAGTGGCGCTTTGGCGGGATGTGCAGCTACCTTGGGATCATATCCATTTGATCTTGTTCGCACCATATTAGCTTCTCAAGGGGAACCCAAGGTGCTATATCCCACACACTTATTCGTTGCCATCTGCATGCTTATTGCTTAGTTACCTGATGTCAAGCGTTCTCGCAACTCCTAAACTTCATGAAGTCATATCTGTCCGTCATTTTGACTTGTACATCCTTTTAATGTAGGTGTATCCAACAATGAGATCTGCATTTGTTGACATTGTCAAAGCTCGTGGTTTTAAAGGCTTATACGCAGGATTATCCCCAACCCTGGTCGAGATTGTCCCATATGCAGGGCTCCAATTTGGTACATATGATACATTCAAGCGCTGGGCCATGGCAAGTCTCTTACTTTTTCTGCTGCTGGTTGAGTTTTGTTAGGGGCTGATTTCGAAGGCTTTCATTGTTAAATGTGAACTGAACCCTTAACTGTAGTGTCTAGTATGGTTTTCCGTTAGATTGCCCCAGTCAGCATTAGAAAAACAGGAGCCTAGTTGACATCTAACTTTTAAATAACTAGGTCGCTGTTCGGTCCTTTTATTGCAGGCATGGAATCATTCTAGATCCAGGACCATGACTACTAGAGATGATGATAACCTTTCGAGCTTCCAACTTTTTATTTGTGGCATAGCTGCTGGGACGTGCGCTAAACTTGTTTGCCATCCTCTTGATGTCGTCAAGAAAAGATTCCAGGTATTCTATCGCTCTTCCTCGAATCTTATCATGGTTGTATTGAACGGTCATCTTATACGACTTCTCCTCTTATCTTCCAGATCGAAGGACTTCAGAGGCACCCGAAATATGGTGCTAGAGTCGAACACCATTCGTACAAAAACATGTTTGATGCCCTGCGCCAGATCATGCTGGCGGAAGGCTGGGCTGGTCTATACAAGGGGATCGTCCCCTCGACTGTCAAGGCTGCTCCTGCCGGTGCTGTAACATTTGTGGCTTATGAAATGACGTCGGACTGGCTAGAATCTATTTGGACTTGAATCTGGAAAAACAGGATTGAATTTTTTTTTTTTTGTTATAGTGTTTCTTGACGCAGAATTTAGGCCGTCTAGCCGTCTACCATTCATTTTTGTTTACCTAATAAGTATTAACGCACGAAAAGCTCAGCCTCTCCCCAAGATGGGCTTTCACCACATAGTATTCTTACTTTTTGCCTAGTCAGTATTATATAGGGATACCCGATTTGAGATTGTATTCTTGACATTATAAGAAAAGCCATAACATCGTGTATTTTTGTCATTGCCAGTGAAATGTCTCTTCTGTTTTAGTTCGGTCTCACCAATGTAATCAGTGATCAGATAGTTCGAGGCACTGCAGTATAATTGCTTGTGGTAAACTGTAATAAATGATATCAACCGCTTGGAAATAATCATCTCAGCACTTGGGTTCCTCAAGAACAAAATAATAGTAACACAACTTCTGTTGAAAGACTAACATGTTATTCTCCAAAACATGGCTACATTTCTCTATGATGTACAACATCTTCCCACGACAGAGAGGTTTGAAAACTTAACTATTGAAGAGGGATTCATCAGTTCATCGCCATGTATTTCTTTATTCGACACCATATCCCGTCAGTTGCAAGTAGACTTACTGACTGGCTTTGTCATTCAACGTCCTTCTCCTTCTTCATGCTGTCCTCTGCTGGAAGTGATACAAACTGCAAGAATTTCTTAACCTGTTCGACTTCAAGGCGGAACTGTTGAGCGATTTGGTGGGCATCCACGGGAGCCTTGAGGTTGTCTCCTTCACCCTTGCCCGCCTGCAGTTTGAGAATGTGGCGCAGTTGTGCCACATTCAGGGTTCCTGGGGGAACAGCTCTTTCCTCGTATTTACTGGCAGCATCGGGAGTTGTGTTCCGTAGCTTCGGTAGGGGCTTGTTAGGGCTTTGTACTATAGATGCCTGTCATAAAGATAGCAGCTTTAACATTCGATGCAACATATTTCTGCAATACTAACATCCCTAATGCTATTGCATCACAAGAGGCAGAAACATATGAGAAAGCGATTGGTCCCAATTTTCCACCTCCCTTCTGCATTATAGTCATGATCCTTATCTTTCTGATTTTGTAATATCTGGTTCGTTTAGATCTCACTGCAGAGGTAGATCACTAGGAATTTTCAATTCTAGGATATTGATCTCAAACCCTACGAATGCAGATATATTCACTGAAACTCAGAAAGAAAAACTGGTTCAGAGGAACTCTACTGTGGATATGGTATATTAATATTGGTCTTGGATTTCAAAGCTTTCTTTCTCAAAAGACAGAGAACCTCTCGCTTGATTTATAGGGAACTTCATTCCTCACAAATTTTTAGGCTTCGATGAATGAAAAGGCTAATTCGTTCTCAAGAGAACAGATAGTTCCACCATGAAAGTAAAACTTGCCTCTAGGTCAAAGTCCTTAACAACAACTCATCAAGGCCTTTGGCCTGCAATAAAGAGTTTTGAGTTTTCCCAAAACCATCCATGTTGTCTAATGCCTATCCATAAGCAGACTGTTGATGGCTTGGATTGTGATGAAACCATCATGACTTCCCTTTAGGAACAAAAGCCAACAGGCATTCACTTCCCCATTTGTACAACTTCCTAGTAAGAATATGAACAGACAACAAAAAGGGTGGAGCCAATATCAGAAGAGCTCACCTCACCCATCTCGGGTTTCCCTCCTGGCTTCGTTTTGATTCTTCCCACCATTTGATTGAGCATTGCATCGAACTGTGGATCCTTTTCTTCAAGGGGATTTTCATTATCAAAACTTGGATTATCAGCTACAAAAAAAAACCGACAAGCCATGCATAGGTAAGTTCATTCCATGACCCAGATATGCATTTCCCTGAAGACACTACAGTGCAAAATGGAAGTCAGGAGTTTCCATTGCAGCTTGTTCAGTTCATTTTTCCATCAGGAACCAAACAGAAGGCTGGAAAAAGATTCGACCTTACTGATACAATGGCTAGTTATGGAGCTCAAAATAACAGCCACTAAACCAACATTACTTGCATTTCAGCTCTTAGGTCAGAGGGGAAAACAGCAAAGTCCCGAACTTTTAATGGAACACGGGGAAGGGTTCAATTCAATTCAATTCATCTCCCCCCTACTTTCCGAGAAAAGCGACACAATAGAATTCACCCATTCTAACGAATAAGCAGAGAGAGACTCACCAGCGCCAAGTGTATCCTGATTGTCGAGTTTTGGGGTAGTCCTTCTTGAGACCTCCACAACTTTCTCGGCGGCACTCTCCGGCGGTCTGCGATCGACAACTACCTTCGGGGACGGATCGGGAACTCGGATTCTGCCAGATGCTCGTCGAAATGCCTGACCCATTTGCTTCTTTCTTTCTGCACTTGCCGCCTTGTCCCTTTTCGGCCTTTCCGAACGGGTGACAGTGGCAATAACGGCGCCGCTCGGCGGTTGTGTAGAGTTCCAATAGGAGGAGAAAAGGGAACAAAGGCCTCACAGAAGTTCCGCTGGGGTGTGGGAAGAAGAGAGGGGTTCGCGGAAATGGTAGAAGAAGACTAGCGGCAAGTGAGTTGTAACAAACAAACGCCTGTGGAGAACACACGTCGCTTTGTTTTCGAGGAGTTTGCAAAAACGGTGCTCTAAGTTGCTTATTTGCAATTGAGTTGGTCGAAAAAAGTCTCTCTCTCTTACTTTCCTCTTTCAAAATTTCCTCCGCCCTCTCTCTAACTTAGCCTTTCCTTTTCAGATTTCAGGGGCTACCGCCGGTCACCTCACCTTATTGGCGGTAGCCCAACAATCCCTTTCTGTTTTTGTTCTTGCTTTCCAGCTCCATTACCTTTGTTTGTTTGCGTTTTTCCTGCGGATTTCCAGCTGTTTAGCTTTTCCTGCCTTTGTGGCTTTTCCAGTCCCTTTTCTAGGGTTCTTCTTCCTGGGTTTACTCTCCTTGGGGCTGGGTTATGCATCTTGGGCGACTCCTTCAATTCCTGGCTGGTCACCTCTCAAGATGGTGGATTCTTTTGTGCTGCATGGTGAATCCATTCACCGATTCTCCCATGGATTCCCCTGTTGTGTGGTCTGCCTCTTGGTCGTCGTCAGTGGGAGGAGGATGGTGTCTAATCCTGTTGGTCGTGGTGGCATCTCTTGGTTTGTGGGGGTTGCGTTCGTTGGCTCTCGCCTGGACCAAGACTGGTACCTCGGTTCCCCCTGCCTTTTCAGCTCGGAGCATTTCGATTCTCAACCTTGACCACCGCCATGTAATCTCACATCTGCGATTCACTGTGCTGAGACGTCTTCGAGCATCTCCCAGGAGGCGGCTTATGGCTTTGCTGTGTTCAATAGTCATGGTTTCGGTTGAATCGAACGAGCTGATTGTGTTTGGTGCTACTTTGGTTGATGTGGTTGCAAGAGAGATTTCTGGGTTTTCTGTTTTTGGATTTAGAGTTTTCAGATCCATTGTTTTAGTTGAATCATTCTGTGTTTGTGCTGCCATTGTATTCCTGAAGCACATATTGTTTCAGCTGTGTGCTGTTGGGATGTGCTCTTGATCTTTCTCTAGTTTTCCTGTTGGTTTCTCTTGTAATCTGTCATTCAAAGTGCAATGCAAGCAATCCTTTGTCAAAAAAAAGTTGCTTATTTGCAAACCCTGACATCGTCACTCACAATTAGGCCGCAAATGAGTCGAGTCGAGTTTTACCCCAGCTTGAGCTCGGCTCGTTAATAAACGAATCGAGTTCGAGCTCAGCTCGTTTATTAACGAGCCGAGTCGAGCTCGAGCTCGAGCTAGCTTGTTTATTAAAATCTTGACTTTTATTTGGTAATTCATTTTGTATATCATAATACATATGATTTATTTTGTTAGCTAATTTCATATTATACTTTATTGGTATCATATATCATTTAGTTAATAAATTTTAACTACTCCAAATCATGTTCTTTCATAGTATCGAAGCAATCTATGATGCATAATTTCTTTTTAAAGTAGAAAATAAGATATATTTGATCACATGCTCAACATGTTAAACTTTATATATGGTTAGATATATAATTTAACAACCATATGAATTAAAATCATAAGATATAGATTGATTCGTCCATAAGTTGGTAGTCGAGTTGGCTCTCTAGCCACATGTTAAGACATATCATGAGCTCTAAACGAGCCAGCTCACGAGTTTAGCTCAACAAGCCACCGAGTCGAGCTAGCTCGCAAGCTTCACAAGCTGAACAAAGGTTAGCTCGTGTTCGGCTCGTTTATTAACGAGCCGAGTTTCGAACGAGCTTTTCTCGAGTCGAACGTCGAGCCGCTCGCGAGCAGCTCGGCTCATTTGCAGCCCTACAGTCACAATTACGTTTTCATATATGACTTCTATAGTTTTTTACTCGGTGCCAATCGGGACTATAGAGGTCGTTTGGTTTTGGTGATAGTTACAATACATGCATTGTATACAACGTATCGTTTTTTTTTTTACTGTACAAACAATACATGCAATGTTTGCTTGATTTGACTAATGGAGTGATAGTAAAATCTCAAGTTTTGGTTGAATTGTTTGGTACAGATTGTTGGGTTTTCTTTTGTTCCAACTATGTCCCTACCATTTTATGTGTGTTTTTTTTTAATATTAAAAACAAAGGGTAAAAGTGACATTTGCCTCAAAAAGTAATATATTTCAATAACTATCACATAAACCAAATGATGTAAACTATAATTAACCAATTTTCTTATATACATGCATATTGTTATGGATGCATTGATGACAATACATATATTTAACTATCACCAAAATCAAACGACCCCATAGATTTCTAAATGAATCGGGTAAGATAGCAGAGTTGGTAAAACTGTATCGTATTGTCGTTCGATCGAGAAAATTTTCTAGCGGAGATTAAATTGACAGGCAATTTTTAGCAGTATAAATTAATTATATCACTTAAATCACGATTTCAACATAAACCGTTAACTTTTTCAATACAACCTTCTATACAGTTTATAATCATTGTAATATAGTCTAGATTAGCTTATAATTCCATTTAATTAATAACTTATGCATATTTAAAATTGGCATTAACCATAAATTAAGTAAAGCAAGAAATTGAACTTCTTGGTCTTTGAGCTCTACCTCATATCTCTACATGCCAAAGCAACCAATTAGGAGCAAATCTAAAAGAGATTTAAACTCTGGCCTTCCATTATATGATCAGGCTAAAATCTGTTGTTGGGACTAAAAAATTAAGCAAATTAAAGTAACCGGTTTTCAACTATTATTTGTAAAGATGGATTCTTTAACAATGGAGTTAAATTTCCCCTTCACAACAAAGCACTTTTTCTTTCCAAGGCATTTGATTTTGAATGAAGTTTAAGTCAAAACTCCAACTCCAGAATACCAGCTTCCTGGTCTTTTCTGTTTCCATCATCTTCTTGCGATGTAACCTATGTAGTAAACTAGGAGAGCTGAGCTGTACACACAGGTTTCTCGGTTCATTCAACGGTTTCAACTCATTTTCAAGCTCAGCTGACAAATGGCTCGTTACCTCGAACATGAACCTCGTTATCGATGTCATTGCTACTGCTACTCTTGGTCAGACAGCTTCCTGGTTCATCTCCACCTTTCAAATCCACGATTTCGGGTCCAAAGTTGGTACTACTGCTGCCAATCCTCGCCTTCTTTGCTCGTTTAGACTCTTGTTTCGATGCATGGCTGTCTCTCTTTGGCGTCAAGCTTAAGAACCCATAAGCAAGAGCTTCCATTGCCTTAGTAGTCAGTAGCCGGTTTCTAGTACTGTGTCTACGAGAGTCAGAAGTTGAAGGATTTGAGACTCCAGGGTCCTCTGGCTGATTTGAGACTCCAGGGTCCTCTGTCTGCACATCGTTGATCTTCCTTTCAGACATCATTGAGTGCTCAGGTTCTTGATGGGTCGGTGCAATATTAAGGTCAATCAATGTCCGAGATTGAGGGTTGTCGTTGGAATTTTCAGTAGCAGAAGAAGTACTGCTCATAAAGCTGGATGAAGAACTGGTGAAAGGTAGTTTCTCTTGCTGCTGACTCGGCACATGGGAAGGAAATCCATGTCCGCGATAGTTCACAGGATAATCCTCAATCATCCTTGGAGCACTGATTAACTGGTCATTAAATGTTATGAAATTAGTCTTTCTTGGGTCACAAGGCTCTGCTACTTTCTGTTGTTGCTTCTCCACCCGTTGACCAACCAAATCATCAAAAGTTCTGCATTTGGTATTCCTTGCATCACAAGGCACTGCTGCAGCTGCTGCTGGTGGTGGTGGTGGTGGTGCTGCTGCTGCTGCTGTTTTCATCTGGTGCCTTTTTGCAGCTGGCGGGTCCACTTCAGCATTCCCATTGCTGGGTACTTTTCTTTTCCTTATAGCTTGAGGATTGTTCACAAAAACCTTTCTCGCCTGCATAGCTCTTCCATCATCAGCAGTAGCAGCCTTACTGTTCAAGCCATTCACAAGGAAACTATGCCTCGCAGTGCCATTTCCATGAAAATCTAAATCAACACTCGAGTCTCCTGCAGAATGCGATGCATCTGTGGGCCCTTCTGAAGAATAATCATCATCACTACTACTACTACTACTATCTTCAGAATCACTAATGGGGAGGGAAATGTTCAAAGCCAAAGTTGGCAACTTTCTCAGTTGCGTTATCTTCTTGCTTTGCCCATTAGCCAGGCTCGTATCGACAACTGTGAAGCTCAAACCAGTCGTACTACCAAGTTCTGATTTCCTCGGTTTAAGATAACAGTGTTGCTCCTTACCACCTAAATTATCTCCCTCAAAGTTTCCACCTTTACTCCAACCATTCTCTTCCTTCCCAATATCAAGTTCAAGAAGTGAAGGCTGAGAACCAACTTTGGTCAGAACATCAGTAACCGAATCGAAGTAATGCTCTCCTTTCACAAGCTTCCTTCGAGAGAATTTCTTAACTGCGGGGACTATAAACACCAGGGAGTTTCTGGAACCATCTTTAGGTTGCTCTGAGCGCCATCCTCTAGCAAGCAGTCTTGGCCAAACAGCTTCCCAGAAGATATCGTTCGACCTAGCTTTGCTCAGCCGGTATCTTCCTGTTAGGATATTGACTATCTCCAAAAGTGTTAGCTTTGAACATTCTTTGCCCACAGGTATCTCTAGTCGAGCTGTCCCACCATGATTCGTTGACCTCAGGGAGTCCATGGCAGTGCTTGTTAGGTCTTGTTTCCCTTTGCCAATTCCCACTGCTTCTACAAAGGCCTTTAAACCGACTGCTGATTTTAAAGCAAATACATATTCCTCCAGCGTCATTTGCCCCTCTCCAAATGACTTGGCAGCCTAATTAATTAACATAATGGCTTCATCATTGAATAGTGAAAGAAAGTACACTGGGGCAATTTGTGAACTCACCAACAATTATAAACCTAAAACAGACCTCTACAATTAAGCACTTAAAGAGCCTTCATGAAAGCAAATAACTTTACCTTCTGCAAAGTGTGCTGACATTCCTCGGACGAATGATTGACCAAGCGAGACATGAGCTCCTGATGCCTAGACCCAGTGAAGATCCTCTGTCCAAACATTCTAGTCCTTCCATTCTGCTTCCCACATTCAGACCACTTACGATATCTACTCGACCTATAGAACTTCCCATAGTAGAAGGACAGTATCTGGCCCATTGTCTTACTCTCAACAAACTTCTGTACTTGAACAAGGTTCTTCCCAAAGACATACAAACCAAGCAGAAAGCTCCCCACTTCTAGATCATTCCATTCATCACAGCAAGACGAACCAGGTACCAAAAGGTAAGTTTTAGTACCACATTGAACAACTTCATCAATCTTAGCATTCCCAGTTTCCTTCTTGTTGGAACCAGTGGACAAAGCATTGAGGAACTCATCTAGTTCTTTCTTGATCATTTCGCCTTCTTCCTTAATCCATGTTAGTGATATAGGCAACCCGATTGAAAACTTGAGAGAATTGCCTTCTGAGGGTAATGTATGATCATTTTGGAGGTAGACCGATTTGGTAACGATAGGTGGGATAAGGACCTGGTATTGCTCTCCAATTCGAGGCAGCAACTCAGTTTCTCTCTCGGGCTCATCGTCTTGGCATGTACCAGAAGATTCTAGCAGCTGCAGAGGCTGCTGATCTGCAGATTCATCATTGCCATTGATGTCTCCATTGTGATCGACTTGAACTTCATCCATCTGTAGAGAAAAACAAGAAACGAAAACAGATTCTTAGCAAGCAAACAAACAGTGTCTTGAGTAGCAACTAATCTCACCATTAAATTCCACTCTTAAGGAAATAATGGTCCTGTAGCCTGTAACAGGATCTAGAATTCTCCCACCATTAAATTGAACTCTCCACATTACAGTGGAAGTTATGAGCAGCTGGTTTCTGAGTAAATCCAGTAACCAAATCCAACTACATTGATAGCAGAAGCAATAATCACACAGAAGAAAAAAAATATCTAAACGAAAACAAAAAAAATGCACTTAACAGGAAATCAAATCAAATTCAGAGATAAAACCAACCAACTAAGTAAATAACTAAACCAATGAATCAAAAATGGAACGCAGCAATTAATTCACATTCCAGTCCATAGAAATGAATTCTGCGGTAGCAGAAGGCAGCTAGGGATTAACTGAGAACCCAGGGAATATCAATTCAATTCCCAAGAGAAGAGGGGTAAAAAAAAGCGAAAGGAAAAATAAAAAGCTCGAAACTTTGGCTTGAATACCAACGACCCACGAAGCACATTCATCTGACAAAGCTACCCAATTACCCCGTAGCCGATAACCAGCCATGGCAGCTCGAGAGCAGAGCTTCATGATAAATACACATAATTACGGGAGTTTCAAAAAAAAAAAAACAGTAACAACAAAAGAAGTTATGAATATTACTACTATTGAGTACTGAGGGAGTAAGATTTGGACACGATCCCGGAGTAAAAAAGATTTACCCCCTTCGGTTCTGGGAAAAGGAACAGAGCAACTCGAAACAAAGAAGACGCCATCAATTCCCTTCCCTTGTCTTCCCTGCCCATGGAGATATATGTATATACATACATAATTACAGATGTAATTTACTGTATATTATATATGGTTTACCTCCATTAGAGTTAGAGCGCGAAAGCCTTCAAAGGTATGGCGGGCGCGAAGGCTGCTGAGTGGGCGAAGAAAGGCGCAGGCGGGCGGGGCAGCAAAGGACCGACAGAACGAAACAGAAGGCTAGAGAGAGAAATGAAAACCTGAGAGAGAAGAGGAGAAAGAAAAGTTAATGGGGGAGAGACGAGACGGGAAGGGGAGAGTAAACCTTTGTTTACGCCTATTGGGAAGTACTTATTTATATAAAAAAAATGTAATGTGTATTTCTTATCCAAATTTATTTTACATACTTTTATAGTATTAAAATCTATTAAAATGCTATTAATTAGTCAAATTTTTCGTACTGCATCAAAATATTAGTCATTTTCACGTTATCGTTAATAAATTTTACAATTTTTTCTTTTTTCAAAATACTAACATTTTGGAATGTTGACCTTCATGTGTCTCTTCCGAGTCAGTATCATATTGCCATGGTCGACATAAGGTTTGACATGTCGATTTGAAACTAACAGTGCGAGGTTAGGTGGCATCCAACTCAATTTTTTGTTAATCCAGAGAAAGTTCTAGGCCCTCTAGTGGGTTGCATCAATGTTAGCGGATCTGACTCCAAAGAATGTCGTGGCGTTTCCGACGACACATTTAAACGTCATTAACATTTTCAGTGAAAATGACAAATTTGTTCGAAACACATCATAAATATCACAATATGGCTACATTTTTTATTTTTCCCAAAAAACGATAAAATTGATTGAAAAGACTTTTGGTTATAGATATGTATTCTGGCTATCGCTACCTTTTTAGTATGTTGAATTGAAACTCCCTTTTTTTCTTTTTAAAAAATATCATAATTGATTAACGTATTAAAAAATAGAACGTAATTCATCTGTTCGGGGTAAAGTTTGTTTTTATTAATTTCATTAGTCCGGTCAACGTTACAGACGAAATCCATTGCCGGGCAGTAAAATTCCGACATGATCATCTTCCATTCGAACACGAAATTTTTTACTGTTTCCCCTCGGGTAGTTCTTTTTTATAATCTCCTGAGCTGCCGCTTCCACTTCCCCTTGGAACAAAAGTTAAAGAGCAAAGAACAAACAAACAGAAGGGAAGCTCCGTCTGTTTTACGTGAATGAAATTGTCAAAGAGTCCAGACAACGTCACGTGCGGCGGCGGTGCGTGCGTTCCACATCCCCGGCGGTTAGTTGGCTGGCCATGGTGGCAAAACTACGAGCTGCCGCCGCAGCTTCAATGCATAAAAGAGACCAGGTGAATGGGAACTCGCCACGTAGCTGGGATAAGGAAAACGCGATTGGCGCTTGTTCTTTGGGTCCACATGGGCCGGGCCCGTACGCGTGCCCAGCTCGAGTGGGTATGGGATCGTGTGGGGTAACCGGAGTGGGCCATTCACAGTTGGGCCTGGGAATGGGTGGATTTGGTCCTCCTCCAGATCAGAGTGGACTTCCACTTCTGCAACTTTTTTATTTGGTCCTTTTTTTTTCTTCATTTGCATAGGTTTAGGGATGGCAATCAAACTCGCCATTATGTGTTCTAGTCACTACTGACCTAATTAACATGGTGAACTTCTGTTTTGAATGAGTATGGAGCTAGTATGGCTAAAATTTGTAAAAACTATAAAGTTATAAAGAGAATGGGGACTGGGGAGGGTACGATTTCTTACTCTCGGCCGCATATACTCATATCCACCGCACAAAAAAGTATTTTCTTTCATGTATGGGCCGAAAGCACTGAACCTGGCCCTCGAAATATTGGGTATGTAGCCCAACTTTGAGGTGCAAAGTCAAGAGGAGCCTTATGACACCTTCAGAAATTAAGCCCGGACAAAGAACTGCTTTGTTTAGTTGTTTTTGTAATAATATGTTATATAACTAACTACCATCATTAATTCAATAATAGTAATCACACATTCATTAACTAATTACCATCATTAACTAATTACCAGATAGGCGAGCCAAACAGGCTCCCCCACACCAACAGAAGGCGGATCCTATGAAGGAGGTTCTTGCACAGTCCCGGAGGCGTAGGCTGATCTTGCAAGAGGAGTCGGAAGAGGAGGAGCTGGCGGGCGCGAAGGTGTCTGATCCTCCATCGCTGAAGGAGTCTTCCAAGACTCGGGCCCGCCCACGTCTGAGGAAAGCTGGTGCGCCGAGCCTGCTGCCTTTGGCCAAGCAGGATGTGGGCCCTGTCTCACCTTGTGCTATGCATGGGATGGAGGATGAGGAGGGTGTTGTTCCTCTGGATGATCTTGTTGAGGCGAATGATTAGGTGGATTCTGACTCTGATGGAGATCACTCACCTGGAGCTTTTGAAATCAAGCGACGTTCCCCAGGAGGGGTCTCCACGAAGGCTTGCCCAATCATGAAAGGGCGTGTCCACCAAGTAGTGGAGGCCTTCGAGGCTGGGCTTGTCTTTGAGCAGGAGGAGGGTTTTCATCCCAAAGGGTCGAGTGTGACATTGGATGAATATGGGTCTAATCTGATGGGCCCAATCATGGAGAATAGGAAGCGGGGGATTGATGCGCTAGACGGGGATGTTGGTGACACCCCCACTCCGAAGAAACAATTTGTGGAAACTGCTAACGAATTGGAAAAGGTGGAGGAAGCCAGTCTCGAATGGCCCCAGGCCGATAAATGAAGCTTCTAGCCTGGAATGTGAGAGGAATTGGACCATCCCTCACTTTCCAAACTGTTGTAGGGCTTGTTCATTCCAATAAACCGGATCTCGTATTTTTTTCGGAGGCTCGATCGAGTCGGCGTGTAGTGTCCCGTCGTATGCGGGGTTTAGGTTTTGCTATTTCTCATTGTTTCTTTGTAGATGCAGTCAATGCATCAGGTGGCTTAGTGTTTGCTTGGTCCCCCGGGGTTGACGCTTCGGTGTTTTTTTATTCCAATTTTTGTATTTGTTCGCAAATTAATGAAGGAGATTTTTCTTATGTGGTGATCTTTGTCTACCTTAGCTGTAATATTGCTCTTCGAGCTACTCAGCTGGCTCAGTTGAAAGAAATTTGTGCGAATATTAATCAACCTTATGTGCTCATTGGTGATTTTAACACTATTCTCCACGCGGGTGAAAAAGATGGGGGCAGGGTTTGGAATGGTGCCCAAGCAATTAGCCTTCGGGATTTTGTGCATGATTTGGGGCTCCATGACCCGGGTTTCCAAGGAGATCAATTCACTTGGACAAACAAACGTATGGGTGCGGCATGTATTCGGGAACGTCTGGATAGGGCTCTTTGCTCCCAATCCTGGAATGATGTCTATCCGGAGACTCTGGTCAAGCACTTTACGGATCAGGGGTCGGATCATCGGGCCCTGCTGCTCACAGATAAACTGTATGCTCGGAGCAGTCGACCCCTATTCCATTCTGATGCCCGCTGGGCGGATAATCCTGAAGTGAGAGCTATGGTTCAGTATGTCTGGCAGGAAGAGATCCAAGGTACCCCTATGTTTCGACTGTGGGAGCGCCTAAAGAAGCTCCATCATTTGCTTTATGATTGGAGCAGGGCGGGCACAACTAATTCTCTGCACAAAATAAAGACGCTCCAAGCTGAGATTGATAGGATAAAGTCGATCCATCCGGTGGATTGGGATGAGATTAGGACCCTGGAAGCGGAGCTCTCCCGTCAGTGGGAACCGGAGGAGGTTTTCTGGCAGCAAAAATCTAGGGTTAAATGGTTAAAAAAAGGAGATCAAAATTATGCCTACTTCCATACGGTCACAAGGGCTCGGCGGAAGAGGAATTTCGTGTTCGGGCTTCGAAATGAAGAGGGTGAATGGGTCACTGAGGAAACCGGGAAGGCATCTATTGCCACCAACTTTTACCAGACCTTGTTTACCTCGGAAACGCATGTTCCTAATATGGCTGAGAGGGTGGATAATCTGCCGATTGCCCATAGTGTTACTCCGCAAATGAATGCGCAATTGACGGAGGTTTTGCCTAGTGAGGTTCGGCGTACGGTCTTTTCCATGGGTTCAAAACAGGCCCCAGGATTGGATGGCTTCACCGGGAAATTTATTAAAGCTTTCTGGGATATTGTGGGCACTTCCGTGGTGGAGGCAGTAATCTCCTTCTTTACTTCGAGTCGGATGCTGCGGAGTTTTAACCATTCCTGGCTCACTTTGATCCCTAAAGTGGACTCGGTGGAAACAATTAGACAATTGCGTCCGATTAGTCTCTGCCAATTTGTTTACAAAGTGATTACCAAGATCATGGCGGAACGGTTGGCTAGCATGCTCCCTCAGATCGTTTCGGAAGGCCAGAATGGTTTTATCAGAGACCGGCAGATTATTGATAACATCCTTATAGGACATGAACTAATGCATTATCTGAAAATAAAAAAGCAAGGGAAGAAAGGGTACATGGCTTTGAAGGTTGACATGGAAATGGCCTATGATAGAGTCGAATGGTCCTTTCTTCTTGCAGTTTTGGATAAGATGAGTTTTAATTCAGTCTGGAAAGGATGGATACATGAATGTATTCGATCCGCCTCTTTCTCGGTTCTGATGAATGGTTCACCCTCGAGTTATTTCACTGCCTCTAGGGCGGTGTGCTTTAGCAAGAATATTTCCACGCCCGATCAGGAGTTCTTGGCCACGATCCTGGGGGTTGGTGCGGTGGGGGTCCATGATAAATATCTGGGGCTTCCAACACTAGTTGCTCGTTCCAAACTGGCTACATTCAGATATTTGGAGGAAAAACTCCTTGAGCGACTTCAGGGGTGGAAACAAAGGAGATTGTCGTGGGCTGCGAAGGAAACATTGATTAAATCCATAGCGTTGGCTCTTCCCCTTCATGTTATGTCCTGTTTCCGTCTTCCCCTGGCTCTTTGTCGTCTTTTCGATAAGCATGTGGCCCGTTTTTGGTGGGGTGCTGAGGACAGTAATCCCAAAATTAGATGGGTGTCCTGGCGTAGCATGTGTAGGAGTAAGCATGATGGGGGATGGGATTTCGCCAGTTCGAGCATTTCAAACAAGCTCTGTTGGCTAAGATAGGCTGGCGTATTCTCAATGAACCTCAATCACTTATTGCCCAGGTCTATAAAGGCAAGTATTTCCCTCAAGGGTCTTTCATGACCGCTACTGCTAGGTCTCGTCCATCTTGGGGGTGGCAGAGTATTGTTCATGGGCGTCAGTTACTGGAGAGGGGTTTGAGATGGAAGTTTGGTAATGGCCAATC